TGTGTGTGTGTGTGTGTAAGAGAGAGAGATAAATCACGTCTATTTGAGAATAATGCTGAGCAAAGCTCTCTCTCCCTCGCTGAGAGATAACCTGTCAGTGGAGGAAGAGCGCTGCAGTTCAGAGCAATCAATGCAGCGCCTGACCCTCAATACAGCAATGCAGAGAGAGAGAGAGAGACACTGAGAGAGAGAGACATGCAGACTTGAAGAGATTTATTAATTAGGTTACACAGTGTAGCGGAACATGAAGTTTGTCAAAATATTGCCTAATCTTTTGATATCATTTAAGTGGCAAATACACTGTGGAACAACCAAGTTTATACATTTGTACAAGCTCATTAAAGTGTTTTAGCATAATATTACAGAACGGGCACTTAAATCCACGACAGCTTTCATTTGAACAAACCCCCGAGCCTATCATCTACTGAAGTATGAACGCAGACCCTCTAGACATGCAAACTCTATTTCACGCATCGCTGTCCTGAAACATTCGAGTGCAAACATGTTGCATACTCAGTGTTGCAGCAAGGGGCACTAAAGCGCTTCTGTGGTAGTACTTCTACTGGTCATTTATTCTTTCAGGTTGACTATTGTCAGAACAACAATTTAAAGAAAAACATATGGAGCAAGTTAACGCTAGTTGAGAGCAGTGTGCAATTTCTGAGCAAAACAATATGCAAAAATAATGACTGTTGTCAAAGAGGTTTCCTCAATCTGCTATAGGGCCGTTTCACTCTTAAAAATAAAGGCTCTCCATGAAGATCCATGTAACCTTTTCATTGCACAAAAGGTTTATTATAATGGAAAAAGATATTCCGATTATTCAAATATTCCTTAAACTAAGGGGAAAAAAGCCATTTTAAGAGAAAGGTGGACCCAAAATGGTCCCTCTATTGCATTTCTACAAACTCTACCTTTTTGAAATCAATATTTTTAAGAGTGTGGATTCCTGCCCCAATCTCACACCATTGTTTAATCTGCTGCCACGCAATTGATTTTAACCTTTCCACTAAAGTAGGCCATGTGGGCAGGGAAACTTAATAATAACCAATCACATTATAGCTTAACATGTTACTTCTCTTTTACCATTTAATCAAATCTCAATCACTAAATGAAATCTCAAATCACTTACATTGTGTCCAGATGTGACACACAATAAAAAAGGGTATCTTTTCTATGTTAATCAGCTTTTGTCTTAAAGCAACAGTAGCTACAGCAATACGCAATGAGCAACAGAGGATTCTATTTTTGGGATGGTTTCTATTTCTGCAACGTCACGGCTGACAGCTCAGATATTGTGTTTTGTATGATATTAAAATTATTCCATTTGAATTTCTGTATCTCGAATGAAAGCGTCAACGGAGATCTTTTAAAGGGTTAGTTCACCCAAAAATGAAAATTCTATCATTAATTACTCACTTTGCTGCGTCACTTTGGAGATGCGTTCACGACAGTACCATGACGCGAGCGGTGAACTAACCCTTTAAGCTCTTGAAAATAAAGGAAAGAAAAATGTTCAAACTCTGAACAGACAAGTGTATTCCGTGATAAAGATTGCATCAGTCACTGAGTATGTGTTTTGAATATTGTTGAAATGGTATTCTTTTCATTCATTTGATTATGTACCTATCCATTTTATAGCAAGTTAAATATTTTGAACGATGTGATTCGATATTCAAATCAGGAATAAAATCCGATAACAATGGTATCAAAATAGTACTTCTTAAGCAGGAATCATGCAAAATTTCTTTTTCAGACTGCCCTAGTCAATGCACACATACGCTCAAGAATAACGACAACAGATAATTGTCTCTGATATCCTGTTTCACTTGGAAATACATCAGATTACGGACCTGAAATGGGTTTAACTGACTTTAAGGAGGCCTACAGCTGGCATGCTGCTGGACCTACTTCTTTGTTCATACATATATGTGCTTTCCTTTCTATAAAAACATACACGCTGCAGCAGTAAGGATACAGTCTGAGAGAAAAAGGTGAAAGGAGAGAGAGTGCTCTCTCTCTACTATCCTAAAGGTTGATAATGCACTATAATCTATTCCTTCATCAAATCTCTTGGGTAGGACAGAGAACGCCTCCATTTCACACTCAACACATTGAAAACGGGACTTCTCCCATTGGTCATACCAATTTTCTTTCCATTTCAATAATCAAAACACACACACACACACACAGAGAGAGAGAGAGAGAGAGAGAATCATACTAATGCACCAGCAAGAAGGCCAGCAAGCACTCACACAACAAATTATCTGATCATACATTTTTAATGTGATAGGCACTGGCATGAAGAAGATACACATCCCTATTTAAAATATGTGAACACTTTACCTTACAGGGATGTTTTAATATCATGCGTACGCCTCACTGTTTTGCCAACCAAACTAGTGTTTTGTCAAAAAACCCAATACTAATGCTTCTCCAGGCAGATTTAGCTGAATTGATCTCCTGTCAAAGGGAATTACAATGAGTAGAAACCATGAGATGAAATGATCATGCTAAAAACGTTACTACAAGAGACATCAGTTTGATTATGCTGGGATTGCTTTTCAAGAACTAAATTACACACGGCAAAATGAAAAGCTCCTGAATCATAATTCATTAGGGATCATCATAAAATGAAAATTACAGCTCAAGTCAACATGAGATACAGTACCCAATTTTACAAATGTTAAAATGGAGTTGACTGGGAATTGACAGGATTGTGAAAAGAAAGAGCTTGAGGATATCTTACAATGAGGAAAGTCGTTTCAGGGGTGGAGGAAGTTGTTGAGCACAAAGTATACTTTGACTTTTAGGGTATGCATACAAAGCACAAGTCACAAATTTTCACCATCAAACACACAAAGCCTTATGTTTCTAACCATGCACACTGTGTATGTGCAGCTCGCATATGCACCTTTTGCACTAAAGTGATAACACTAAATTAATGGAGGAGACAGAACAACAACAACAACAACAAACTACTGGAGACAGCAACAACAAAAGACGCCCACGTTAACATCCGCTTGTGTAAGGGGATTAAGAGATCCTATTTATTTATTTATTTTTAATCACTCATAACTTTTGGAAAGGAATAGCACAGACTCTGGACAAGGATGAAATGTTTTAATGTGCTTGTGTGTTGAACGGCTGTGTTCTATCATACTTTGAAAGCTTGACTGTATGCGTAAAAAAAAAAAAAACTAAGTACAACTTGGGCTTTATATTTTGATGAAAGACCATTGTTTTTCTTTGGAATAATGTGCACTGATGGATTATATATAATAAAACCAAAACTGTACAGTAAGGCCCCGATCAGACAGAAAGCGTTTTTTGCACGCCTTTTTAAAATTGTTTTCCATTGGCAGTGAGCGTTTTGCATGCTGTTTATGTGCCCTGGGCGCCTCGCGAGTGCCTAAAGTTGATAAAAAAAAATCAACTCTGAGCATCATTCGTGGGGGGTTTTTTCCATTGTCCAGTCGAATGAATGGAGAGGCGGGCCTTCCATTGTGGTGCCGGAAGTTTACAGTTGCTTGGAACGTCCAGAGACTGCAATGATGGAGAAGAAACATATTTTGGCTGGGTTACCCAGAGCTGTATTTTTTTAAGTTTCTGCTAATATGACAGTTTATTCGTGCTATAATCCTTGATTAGACTGACAGGACAGCCTAGCAACATAAAAAAAAAACGCAGCGCACTGCTCTTTTCTAAATTAAAAAAAGTAAACCAAAAAAGGCAGTGCGGTGCACCTCGCGTTTTCAAACCTGAAAACACGTTCTGTCTGATTGGGGCCTAAGAAAGTAAGGTTACGTCTAATCTGAATACTTTTTCTCAGAGTTTTGGTCTTGAGGTTTAGTCATGTGACACATATTGTACCGATACATATCTAGGTTTATACTGGTATTGTGCCTTATGTGCTATTCACTTTCACACTGTTGCTAAAGATATTTTACTTTGTATACTCTTCGTATCACAGTAGTGCAAAGATTACAGAAAATTTACTCGCAACTGCTGTCCTGCGGCAAAAAATGAGAGCAGTTGTGTTTTAGACCAAACATAATGGTGTTTGAGTGAGACGCATCAGTGAATGGAGAGATATTTTACCAAATAAAGTGATCCTGCCAGAAGAATAGAGTTTGAACTTTATTGTGTCTGTTCTGTCTGCATCATCTCAGCGAGCTCTTATGAGGTTTTATGCATGCACAGTAAGGCAAATTTAGCCCTTTCCGACATTTCGCTGTCGATGAGAAACTTCTGGAAAAGGCTAGTGTGGACAGAGAGCATTTTTAAATGAAAACACAATTTTTTAATGTATCCTGGTTAATATATGCATAGCTTACATAGGGTCAATTTTGCTTTCATGTCTGTGGACTGAATCTACCAAAAAATAAAAATAAAATCATTATTTTTCATCCCTCAATTTTTTTTCATTAAAAAAAATCACTGGGAAATAATTTAATAATAATTGTATATTTTAAAAATGTATTTAAATGTATAATAAAATACATTTAAATAAATGTTTAAAATATACAATGGCTGCATGAAAAACATTAGAAAGAAAAATGCATGTAAAGGATGTGCTGCAACTAGTCTTTACATGGAGCTGAATGTTGTAAACTCCACCAATGGGAGTTACACTGTCAATGCAACTGTTCCTCTACTGAAAAAAAAAAGTTACACCTCAAAAGGACAATTTAGACAACTTTTTTATAGCTTGTATTAGTATAGCCTGCAATAGCTTCAACAAAATACAAAACCTTGGTTTTAAATGCTTCTTACTGGGCTGGAGTAAGTAAATCAGCTGGAGCAAGAAACAGATGTCGTCACTCTCTGAGGAAACTTTACTTCACAGTGTATGTGACATCACATCACAAATGTAGAGTCTGAGAGGGACTGTGAGGGATTTGGTTCGGCATTTGGGATAGGGCTTATAAACACTTCTCAAGCATAGATTTGTAGAGAAACTCTGGCTGTGTATAAATCTTACTGTGTGAAGGACTCACTTGGGCTGTCAGAGTGGCACTGGGGTGACAGAAGAGAGCAGACCTGGCTCCTGTTCTCAGACCGTGTGCTCTCCTGACAGTCTGGTGACTTCCAAGAGAAATGGACAGCGTCTCCTGCGGGAAAGGAAGACAAATAGAATATCAGTCTCTGAAAATGTGACATTCAAGAACAAGCAATGATATTCAAATAATGTTCCCTCTAAGTTGAAATATCATAATAGCAAGTTCCAAACACACGAATGGCAAAGCAAAGTTTTATTTATTTTGAGTAGGTTGGTAGTGGCATGTCGACTTGAAACAATGCAGAAGGTTAGAGAGTCGAACTTATAACCCGAAGGTTGCGGATTCGAGTCTCAGGTCCGGCAGGAATGGTCAGTGGGGGGGGGAGTGAATAACCAGCGCTCTCTTCCACCCTCAATACCACAACTGAGGTGAGACCCTTGAGCAAGGCACCGAACCCCCAACTGTTCCCCGGGTGCCGCAGCAATATGGCTGCCCACTGCTCCGGGTGTGTGTTCACTACTGTGTGTGTGCATTTGGATGGGTTAAATGCAAAGCACAAATTCTGAGTATGGGTCACCATACTTGGCCACATGTCACTTCACTTCACTATAATATCATATAACTATCCACCTTATTTTTCCCCGTAAGAGCGGGCACGGTCATTTGTAAATGTTAAGTGTGTCTGGTTTACGGTGTCATCCGCTTCCTGCTATTTTTAGCTGTACAAAACAGCTACTTTTGCTGCGTCATATTGCAAACTGGCGTTTCTTACTATATTATTTTTAATGTATTGTCTTAATTGTAAACACACTGATTTGTAGCGCAAACGTTTTACCATTCACTGCACTTTATCATTCTTCTCATTATTTCCCTACAGCAGCTAATGAATCGGAAATCTTGCACCACGTTCACCGGAAACAGCTTACTTCCGCATTGAAAAATAAGGTGGAAAATCTATACAAAGAGATCAGTGACTGGAAAGCAAGTCTGTAGTGAATTATACTGTATGATATTACAAGTTAGTTTAATTTTACATGCTGTATTTCAGTCATTTTATAGGTCCATCAGTGCATATTTTATATGTGTTGATAGACAACAAATGTAATGTTAATCACTTCAATTTCACAGTTTGCTTTATGTAACAAAACATTTCATTTTGATACCATGTTTATGAATAAGAGATGGAAATGAATAACTGTTTGGATATAGTTTTTGGGGGGTTGGGTTTCCCATGTGCAATTTAAAGCATAATCCTTTTCCTTTACCAACTCATTTTTAATACACACTTTTAATTACAACTAGGGCTGTTGTAAGAAAAAGTGGGGGGAAAGTGGTGAAGTTATTTTGGGTGCAACAGAAAAGTCTGTCATGTGATTCTTAATTATAACTGTTTTTAAAACACACACACCAGATATGAGTTTCAGTTATTTCAGTACATCTCAAAAATATGTGATCAGGTTATGAAATTAACACTTGCCACCAGTCAAATGTGATTTGTCCCAATAAAGCTCTTTTGAATTTGAAAGAGAGAAGCAACAGACAAATTGACAAAATATAACAATTAATTTTAACCTAAATTTTAATTTTAACCTCTCTCTCTCTAAATGATTTTTTTTTGTGGAAAATTTACGGTGTCATGTATTTTGCATTGTGGTAATGTCAGCTGATGTGCTTAATAGCAAAGTACCAAGCATTCACAAGACTGCACTGAAACATTCACCACAGAAGCATCATACAATCTGAAATTTGAACTGTTACACCCCTACCAAAAACAGCACTGAAACTCACCATCCTCCTTTCATTTTACTCATCATATAGCAGCTGTTCCCTATCCAATTACAGACTGTTACACACATTACTAATTAATTATGCAAAAGCTCAGTACTGCAGACAGCTGCAGGTGGGTATGTCGCATCAAAGCGGCAGAAAGCAGCAGGGGACAGAGTGAGGATGTGAGGGAATATGTAGGCGAGGTGTAGCACAGGTTGAGCGGGGTCAAGGACTCAAGTATCTGCAAAGCTCTTATCTTAAGTTAATACAGGCACCGAGCTCGTAGATCTCACTCTTGACTTCTGCAGTGTATTTATACAGCTCTCAGAATGATAGATAAAAAATGTCACGTCCATCACCTCGGGAACGAGAAGAAAGTAATAGAGAGCAAATAATAGGCCAGCATATGCAAAGCCAGAGACGAGATTTCACGTTGTGTCGCCAGTGTTTCAAATACGAAGCAGTGACAGGACAGACAATGCAAGTAACTAAATCATTTTGTTGAAGTGACACAGTCTCAGGCATGAGTGAATCTCTCGGCCACTCATCCATGATGGAGGCAAATAGCCCTGCCCTGTGTAGGCTGTGAGGATATCCCTCCTTCAAATCGTCTCATCAAAACCTATTACTTCTGTGATATCCACTTATTTTCAGTCCAACTTCTTATTTCAGTCTCAACTGAGACTTGGATATCACACTTGGAGTCCATTTACTGGCCATCTGATGCATACTGCACACAAAAAGGACAAACAATCTTGCAATCTGGTAAATTCTAATTTGATGGGCTGGCTTTGTGTAACTTCCAGGAATGCACGGTTTTCTATTATTTTATTTTTTTTAATGGTACCAGGCTGTTTCAGAGGAAGAATGAATCCACAGATTTGCCTTGATTAGATGCATTATACTTTTTTTCTGAAATATTTCTTTGGAATAAATCAACATACTTATTCACTTTTAAAAATATAAACTAGATCTAAAATATGGTCCTGCAGAATAAGGCATTAATATATGCTATATATGTACTAATGAACAGCTGATATACTAGTAATATGCATGCAATGAATTAACCAACCATCATTCTGCAACTGTGAATTATGGCAAAAACAAAGATTATCTTTCAGACTGCAGATGTTAAAGAGACATTAGAAGGCATTCTGATAAACGAAAGTCCTACTGATGTCTCAAAGGTTTTATTTTGTATGAAAGGTTATTGAGCATGTATAATCTTAAAAATAAAGGTTCACGATGCCATAGAAGAACCTTTTTGTCTAAATGGTTCCATAAAGAACCTTCAACATCTGAAGAACCTTTCCGTTTCACAAAAAGTTCTTTGTTGGTGAAAAAAGGTTATTGAGATTATAAAAAGGTAATAAAGAGATGGTTCTTTAAAGAACCTATGACTGAATGGTTCTTTGTGGAACCAAAAATGGTTCTTCTATGGCATCGCTTGAAGAACCTTTTGAAGCACCTTTATTTTTAATATGTAGTGAATATATTGTGCCAGGCATTCAGATGAAGGAAGAAGTCTGCTGGAAAGCCAGTGTTGTGCTCAGCTGTGAGACTTCAACTAACCCAGTACACTGGCAGCAATTGTTTATGATGACCTGAGGTTAAAAGTGCATGCTTGATGCAATTTATTAATTGTACCCCATGGATATGCAACAAAATTAAAAAGAACAGCAGTACAAGTTTAGAGGTTGGAAGTCTAAACTTTCATGCAAAAGAAAAATTATTTGGTCTGCCACCTCTTTAGTCACGCTGATCTGGCAAAAACTGACAGCAGTTCTTCCTCGTCAAGTGTTTAATACCAGATACCTTCAAACAATAGTTCTGCTTATCACCACAGCTCACATCCTTAGATACTGGCTGGGGATATCCAACAAATGCAAAGTTATGAAGTTATCTTTCTGCGAAGGGCTGAAATATCATCAAGCTCAACATCAAGCGTCATGGTCACTGGCTTTTGAATTTTGCCCTGTAGTGTGCTGTCATCTTGCCTCTCCTGCCATACAGCAGGGCTGTCATAAAGTAACCATGTGTATGCCTGTTGGTTATTCGATCACAGTTAACCACAGCATTTCCCACCAAAGACCGAAAGAACAACCATCCAACTGTCTGATTTTCTTTTATCAATGACAGCGACTTTCTGGACATTTCATCTCTTGAGCTCTGTAGACAGTGTCCGTGAGCAAGGGCTGACAGATTGAAAATCTGCAGACTAACTAAACATGTAGAAGAACAATACTGTATTAGGACAACTAATAGAAAACCTATTTTTCTATCCAGTATCTATTTTAAACCATTGGCCATCAAGGGGGTGGGGGGGGGGGGTTTGTTCACGGGGGGGGATTGTTCACGGTTATGTAAGATCTTTCAGTCCAGAATAGAGCTCTTTCATCACTGTGGGAAACTTAAACTACAGGGAAGTCACACAGTTGAATGTGACAAAAGATGAAGTTGTTACATTTGTTAAATACCGATTTGCAGCAACCCTCTACATTGCGAGTAAATCACTCACATATGCGACTAAATGATGTCTAATATTAGCCAATGGCTAATAAATTCTCAGATTTTACTCACCAGTGTGTGAGTTGGAGGCTGAGTATATGATTAGCACAGATATATTTTCACTCACAGAACACTCTGACTGAGCACTTCAGAGTTTCACTCTCCGTCAAGCGATCTGTGTTTTTTTCAGTTCATTTGAATGGATGCGCAGCGCACCTGTGTTTGTGTATTTGGCGTAACGTAAACTTATAGTATAGAATTTAAGTCTGGCGAGTAAACAAAAAAAATTTACTAGCCAATGGCGATTCAATTGCCAAGGTGTCCGTAGAGGGTTGTGCAGGCTAATTTACTAGGGATGAACTCATCAGGAATTGACAAGAACCTAGCAATGAGACATTTGCAAAGTCCTCAATACACTAAACTGAAAAAAACAGATTATTATCTTTGCATGTGTGCCATTTGACATCTGAACTGAAAATAAAATGGAGGAAACTTATTTTGTCATGTTTCGGGCTGTAGTATATATTTTTTTTCCTGTTGGCAAATGTCTCATCCAAAAAGGTCCATCACATGGCTTGAGACTTTGGCTACTGGTTGGTGTGTGTGTGTGTGTGTGTGTGTGGAGGAAAGACTCTTACATCCAAAGCAATCACAAAGAGTGCAAAAAAATCAATGCCTGCTGCCTTCTGTATCAGTGTAAATGAGGGATAAAAGCAGCATTCCCAGCTTGAGTGTAAATGTAATAATAAGAGGGGTTCATTGCACAGGTACACTTTTTGTTGGAATGATGAGAGGCCCTCCTAGAATGAGGTTCTGTTCTGACCCCTTCCTTG